TGATTTTGGTTCTCTCTCTCTTCTTTTTTTTGGCTGAAATTTTCCTGAGATACTGAGATTCATATCTGCTTTGCTTCATTGTATCCTCAGTGATAATCCCAGGACCTGGCATGTAAATTTTCAATAACTGTAGAAAAATGAACAAGACATAGAAAGATCTAATAATGATAAAAAAGTCAGTTTTATTTACTTTATACAGGACAGTTGAATCCAAGCAATATTTATTGTTCCTTAATATATTGTTATTGTCACTATGTACCATTGAGTTAGAATTGACCCATCACTGATCTTTTAGTGAGTTTTGAGAGGCAGTTAGTTGCACAAGAGATTGCCTGTCTTTCTCCCATGCAGCAGCTGGTAAAGATTGAATTGTATACCTATGGGTTAGCAGCACAAGTCCTTACCACGAAGCTACCAGAACTCTCTGCTACTTGATATCAAAATCAGGAAAATTCCTCTTGAAGTCAGGCTTCGGATAATAGCATTTAAAGAAGAATTATTGTCAAGTGGAAATACAATATAGGCTACGGAAGTAATTTAAAATTTTCTAATAGACACATTAGAGTAGTAGAAAGTGCTGATCAAATGAATTTTAATAATATAATTAACTCGGTATTAGAAATTTTATTTCAACATGGAAGCTATCCAAAATTTCTAATGATATAGTTTATAGTCTTCTCTTTTTATGTATGAAGGTTTTAAAACCTAGTGTTGATTTTTACATTTACAACATATCTTCATAGCAACAAGCTGAATTGCAAACACTTAGAAGCCCATGTGAGGCTGTATTGTATTGTAAATTTAGGATCATTTTACATAGAAGCAGCCTTCTGCCAACAGCTTGGCGAGCTGATAGTAAAATCTTTGAATGCTTTAGAAAAATCAAATTAAAATGTTTGAATGGAAATAACAAAAGATACTATCATTTAGTACCAAGTGCCCCAGTGGAAAGCTCAAAAACGTTTCTATGCCGCTCATACAGTAAATAAATCTTTTTTTAACAGTGAATTTCTTAAAGTGAATTATCCTGAGATTGAGGGCCTAAGGAAGACCTAAGAATGTGCCAGCACACAAACAGATACTAAAGTCTTGGTGCTCCCTAGAAATATAGCACAAAAATATGTTAAATTCTTCCTTTCATGCTTGCCTCAAAAGAATGCTAACTATGGCAGTGCACCTTGTGGTCCCTGGATCTCTTCTCTGCCGGCTCCTCTGGTTTCCCAGTCCATCTGGGGATGCTTTTCTGCAAGTACAGCTAGGTATAAGAGAAAAACAATAAAACAATTGACATGTTTCCTGCAACACTGAAATTGTCTTTGGGAAAATTTGCCAACACACACACACACACACACACACCCCACACACACACACTCATTCCTTTATTCCTTCAAAATTTGGCCAACTTCTTTAAAGCCTTATTAATCTATCCACCATTGTCTTCTCTTTCTTTAACCTGCTTCTGCCTTTTTAAAGTTTTTCATCATTCTACTATTCCCCACAACGCTGTTGATATTATTAAGTACTTGGTTTACTTCCCATTTTTTTGACAAATCATTAAGGAGTAATCTCCTCATCCTCCAACCATACATAAGTACCTTTTGCCACAATGCCTGCAGCAACAACTTGAGCATGGTGGACAGCACGAGGATAGGGCCAAGTTTTGATCTGTTGTTCATAGGGTCACATGTTTTCATTTGAGTTATAGTCAGTTTGACAATAGCTTAAAAACATTAACACTAATGCCTGCAAAGTCATATTTGCAGGCAATGGATAAAACATATACTTCTTTGAGAATATAATCAGACGAAAATATGAACTATTGTCTTGTACATAAAGTTAACTCTTAGATAAAACCTCAGGGAGCAATTTTATTCTGCACACATGGGGCTACCATGATTCAAAATTGACTTGTTGCCAACTGTTGTTGTTACGTGTCGTTGAGTCACCTGCAACTCATAATGACCTTATGTACAACAGCCCTAATCCCTGCTCTATTCTGTGCCAATCTTATTGTCTCCGACAAACCTATCCCAATTACCCCAGTGACTGAATCAATCCATCTCCTTGAGGGTCTTCCTCTTCTGAATTGTCCCTCCACCCTCCCAAGCATGACATCTCTCTCCAAGGACTGGTCTCTCCTTGAAACATGTCCAAAATCTGTCAGATGAAGCTTCAGAATCCTTGCCTACAGGGAGCAGCCTGACTTCACCCTCTGCAGGCCGAACTTGTTTGTTCTCCTAGCAGTCCATGGTATATTCAATACTCTTCTCCAGCACCAAAGGTCAAAGTCATCAACTCTCCTTCTATCACCCCATAGCCTCTAGAGTGATGTCATTGCTCTTCAGTACTTTGAAGAGGTCTCTGACTTTCCCAGTGTGATTAGTCTTTCATTTCCTGGCTGCTGGAAATGACAAGGGTGTTGATTGTAGAGCCAAGCAAACTGAAGCTGTGATCAATCTTGATCTCTTCCTCATCCATCATGATGCTGCCCATTGGCCCAATGGTGAGAATCTTTGTTTTCTTGATGTTGAGCTTTAATCCATACTGAAGGCTGCAGTCTCTTCACCTTGTGCAACAAGCACTTCAGGTCCTCCTCAATTTAAGCAGAGTTGTGTCATTTGCATACCGCAGATTGTTAAAGAGTCTACTTCCAATCCTGGTGTCACACTTCTCCTTATAGAGCCCAGCCTCCTGGATAATCTGTCCTGCATATAGATTGAAAAGATATGGAGATAGAACACATTGTTGGCACAAACCCTTCCCAATTTTGAACCATACAGTGTTTCCTTGCTCTGTTCTGACGACAGCTTCCGGGTCCAATATAGTTTTCGCATAAGCACAATCAAGTGTTCTGGGATTCCCATTCTTCTCAGAGTCAGGCACAGTTTGTTGTGATCCACACAGTCAAATGCCTCTGCATAGTCAATGGAACACAGATAGACATTCCTCTGGTACTCTCTGTTTTCCGCCAACTAGCTACAATAAAAATAAAGCTTCTTTATGAGTTATATTAAGTTCTCTAAAGATGTTATTTCCCATGCAGGAGTGGAGAAGGAATGACTTCCTCTTTCTATGTTGTAGAGTACTGACAATGAACTCTAGTATATGTGGAAAATAAAATGTTTTTATCTCAGATGCTGTGCACAAGGAACGCCTATTCTGATGTCCATTTAAATGGCAGCTTACTTAACTGAAAAACTGGGACTCTGCTCCCCAATCCTCCACATATAAATCCTCATAGTACCAGAGTCAAGACCTGTATCAATGGGACACTGAATACTGGACTGAATATATATTTATAAATTTTTACAGACTTCTTTCTTTTTCACCCAAGCCCTTTACTTGTCATGTCTGATTTATAGACGTATAATGTTGATATAGTAAAATTGATCCTTTTTAAGTGTACAAGTCACTTTAGAATAGTATGCAATTGTACAACCACTAGTACAATTAAGATATGGAATATTTCATTTAGTGGTAGTCTATTGTATGTTGTTGCTGTGTACCATAGAATCAGGACTGATCCATAGCTGACCCTCTGATGGGTTTTCAGAAGCAGTTAATTGAATAGGAGGAGATTGCCCAACTTTCTCCCGGGGAGGAAATGATAGATTCCAATTTTGAGATTACAGCACAGCTTTTTACCATTAGGGCCACTGGAGTGCCCTAGTTTACTATGTAGATGTCCACAATTTGTTTATTCACTCACCTATTGATGGACATTTGAGTTATACTATTGGTGTTCATTAATTAAGACTTGAAACTCAGACTCATAGCCACTGAGTTGGTTCCAACTCATAGTGATCGATCCTCCATTGGATTTCAGAAACTGCACGTATCAGTGGGGGGAGGTGTCATCTTTTCCCTTGGAGCTTGCTGGTGGATCCGAACCGCTGGAGATGCACAGCCTTTGAGTTAGAAGTGCATCTTTCCTTGGACTGAGTGCCCCACCAGGGTTCTCTTTCTGAATAAAGATGTAGCAAACATTTATCCATAGATACAGTCTTTTGTTTTTGTTACTGTTTAGTAAAACTGAGGTGTATACAAAGTGTACCTCCCGAGGTCTCTGAGAAACTCTAAGACTGTTTTCAAAGAGCCTGTAGCATGCTTTATTCCCACTAGCAATCCCAACATCTCAGAATTCCAGTTGCTCCAAGCCTTTGCCAACACTTGACTTTGCTTGCTTGTTTATTTATTGTCAATTTTACCCATTGTAGTCAGTTTGATTTCCTTCCCTAATTGTGTAATGATGTTTCTGAGCCTCTTTGTGACAGCCCTCTTCCCTCTTGTGTGAATCATAATTTCACTCAATATTTTTAGTAAGTCACAGGAGCATTTGATTGAGTGAAATAGGCTTTCCCATCAAGTTGAGCATAGCTGTAGGAATCAGGTGTTCTCAGTTACATTTGTTAATAGGATGGACTAGTTCGAACACGATATGACTGACTTCTCAGCTTTTGTAAAGTCTGCTCCATAGAACCACTTCCTAACGAGACACATTCCTAAGAAAGAACTCTAAAGAGTAAACAATGCTTCTGTGGAAATTTATTGTCAGCACGGAAGAACTCAAAATGGCATTTTCAATTCTTATCCAACCCCCTCCTAAAAAAAGAGAAAGGAGTGTAATGATTTGATTATGAAAGAATAGACCAAAGAGCTTTTAATTGAAATGTCTCTTTCACTATTAAACAAAACAGTCTTTCTTGGGCCTGGGTGATAAAAGTTGATGGTATTCTATTTCTTTGTGTGGAATTACTTTTCTCTCCTCATCGACTTAATTGATGGCACCAGTTTGTCAGCTGTTACATTTGGCTTCCTTTAGCTACAAAATTCAAATAATGACAACCTATGTAATTTAGCAATCCTGTACGGACGTTTTGTTTCTCCTAACGAAGATGAGCTAGAATTCTCTTTTTGCCCTCGAAAGCTTTGGAATAATAATAGAGGAGTTCAAGGCTTTTGTTTCTTTTTTCTTATTTTGTCTGTCTTCTCTTTTACAGGTGGCTTGTTTAATATCTTGCGTTTTCGTCCTAATAGTAATCTATGCGGTAGGACCTTTGTTTTACTGGCTGCCTACGGTATAGTAACATTTTTTCATTTTTAAAAATTTTTGACGGGAATGGTTGTATATTAACTACTTCTTAGGGGATTAACAACCTCAGTCATCAATAATATAGAAACCATATATATGAGCAGTGATTGAATGGGAATGGTGGGAAAGAGGCCACATTCAAATGGGGAGGGATGAAAGGATATCCTGATGATCTATCTTCTGATTCTATATTTAAATAATATTATATTTAAATAATTCTATATTTAAATAATATTATAAAGTTAGATTTATTCTTACTCATTTGGAAGCTGTAACTACACCATATGTTATAAATAGTCAGGAAAGAGTTTTTAATCAGAACTGTTAAATTAAAGGATTACATTTTGATATGGTGAATTTCTCATCACTAGATGGCTGTTAATAGAATTAGGGTAGCGACTTGAAGATATACTGAAGGCAATTTTTACTTAAAGGGTTATTTTTCAACTCTGACATTCCATGAGTCTGTATACATGAGTTCTGGGACAAAAACCCTCACACTATCTTGACCCTTGTAATCCTGAAGCACCAAAGTGACACAAGTAAGACACTGGCTTTAATAGGGAGCTCAAGTAGTCCTAGTGGGTAAGGAATTGGACTGGCAGCCTAAAGGTAGGAGGCTTGAATCTATCAGCTCCTCCATTGAAGGGAGATGGGGAAGTTCCTTCCACATGATTTACAGCTTCGAAAAACCTGCTGCAGGGTCAGCTGTAATTTGATGGCAATGAGGAATTTTTCTGAGAGACAGTGTTGATCCCTTCTTGCTGTACTTCTTCATTTAGTGGAGATATATTATTCATTCCCACTGGAGGATCTTCCAATAATCAAGTTTATTTTTAAAAATGCTAGAGTTAAAACTACATATTTATTACTCAAATCAGTTATAAGAATGCCTATGATTACACAACAATTCCATTTTACCCCCATCTAAATTTTAAACAAAAGACAATGAGTAATTATTTTAAAGTTAAAGGGACATTTAGCCTTGTAATTCACCATGTTTCTTTTTAATATTTTTAAAATATCCTGGGATTTGCCCTATGATTTTCTTGAATTGGTGATATATTCTTCCTGCATGGTAGTAGATTAGTTCTAAATAAAATGTTTCATTATTACTTTATTCTTCTAAGTGGTGATTGCTTTTCTCTAGAAAGTACTTAAAAAACAGAGTAAGTAAAAAGAAACAAAAATATGTCATCTTTTAAAATTTGGATTAAAACTCTTCCTCTCTTTTCCATCAACTTGTTTTTTGTTTTTTATTTTTGTTTTTAGTGTGTTCTTGCAAGTATTATTGTTGTAGGACTGAAAGGAATGCTAATACAGTTCCGGGATTTAAAAAAGTATTGGAATGTGGATAAAATTGATTGGGTAAGTAGAAATTTGACCTAAAAATGTCCCCTTTGGCTTAAGCACATTTTAGCAAATAAGCTTTATTACTTTAATTTGCAGAAAATGGATTTAGTTATTTGACACTTGTAAACTTACAAACTCTGTGATTTCTCAGACTCTTAATGCAAGTATGAAAATGTGTTTATAATGTACAAAAATGGAATTTGTAAAATTTTGATAAATCTGTATTTGTGAATGTTTAAAAAATTCTCATATATTTAAATGGATTGTTGTTGTTGTTATGTGCCGTCGAGTC